CACACTCCTCCCCCCACCCCACGTGGAGTAGTGCCTGGTGTGGAACCAGCCCCCAGGCAGCATTAGCTATTGTTATTACCGTTATTTATTTTCTTTCATCCTCAGAAAAACAGGATGGAATTGTGCATGCGCTGTTTCTGCAAATTTCATTCTCTCTCCGATGATCGCTCGAACATTTCCCTTGCCCTTCAGTATTTTTCTACGATATAATTTTTCGTGGCTGGAGAGTGGGAAACTGCTTTAAACCCTCAGCCCTCCGCAGTGCCCCCCCTCTCACTGCAGAGGGTGGGAACGCCACCTTGCAGCTCAGCTTCCCCAGGAAGCAGGGTGGAGATGCGCGGCGGCACTTAGGGGCCGCGAGGGCTTGGGCTTGGGGTTCGGGGCTCCGTGGGCTTGGGGGAGGCTGACATATTTTGGCGGAGTCGGCATACATCTTTGCCACTTTGTGAACTCAGCTCTTTATCCTAAGCTCACGCGTCCTGCACGCATGCCGCCCAGGAGAGGGGAGGAAGGAGAGCGAAGCTGCTAGGGCTTGGATCCACCCGTTTCCAAATGAGATTGTCGCAGCCCCAGGCCGGGGGTGCCGAGTTCCGGGGGGAGCAAGCGGCACTTCCTGCCAAGGCTGCTCCACCACTGGAGAAAGAGCAGACGGCTTCGGACCCAACGGGGTCCCCAAGTAAAGGCACGGAAATCGAATTTCAGTTCGCGCGTGTGTAGTGGCTCAGAAGGGTGAATATTTTAACACCTCCACCAATAAGAACCCTTAACACTCGCTCTGAGGCAAGCCGTGTTCTAAAGGCTCTTAGGGGAACTCACCGCATTTTGCACCCCTCCTTTGAGGAAGGTACAACACCACCTCTTTGCAGCCAGAAGGCTGCACATCTCCCAGGTTGCACGTAATTCCTTCCCATCCCCAGAAACCCATCTTGTCTCCTTTGGTTGAAAGACAACCCAATATTTGCAGTACTTGCCATATTACTGTCTTGTCCCTTCTTATTACAAAAACAGTAAACGTTTGTCGCCCAAGTTTCAAGCGTCGCAATGAGGAATGACTTAGAATGAAGGTCCCGCATCCACCCAGATAAGAACCGCTGCCATTGACCAGCAGACTCCGTTCCAAGGAGATATCAAGTCAGAACTACGATTTCTTTCCCGAAGTGGGGCATGTCTATCCCGTCTGCCAGGAACTGGCCTTTCTCACACCCGCTGCTCTTGCTGGCCTGTGGCGCTCTCCGACTGTGAGTGGATTTGAATGAAACTGGAGGGCTCAGGGGGCTGCCCGGCAAGAGCTGATGACTTTTCATGGAGGAGTTCGCTCCCTGGTTTCTGGTTTTCTACGACTTTGAATCTGGACACTCCTGGCTCTGGCATCCTCAGCTGAGCTCTGAATCCCCGGGGGGTTCTGTAAGTGGGGGGCTCTAATAACAGAGCCTGCTCCCGGGAGCTGAGGGGTCCACGCCTGCGACGGAGCAAGTCCCCATAGGGCACTGTTAGCACAGATCCTGTGGCCCTGTTCCCTCCCCACTGAGGGTTCCCAGAGCCAAGTGTTAGGAAATGTCGGAGATTCCAAGATGATCTTTCCGGTGAGCAAACTCACCTTCTGTGGGTCCCCTTAATAAGCTGCTGCCTTTTCTCTTTCCAACCTGAACCGCAAACAGTGCCCTTCTCCGTTTTCCAACCTTTCCACCGACAGCACCGGACACAATAGGATTATCTGTCATTTTAACTCTTTTTCTTAGGAATTTCTCCCCTCTACTTTTAATTAAAATTTTAATATCACACGCGCAGATCGTAAATTGAATCGAGGTTCATTTTGACCACCTTCCTACTGCGTTCTTTTTATTCCAAAGGGAAATGGGCGATGGCCGTGCTGCCGGGACCGGGTGGGTCAGTCTCAGTGGCAGAGGCGGCGGCCCCGGGGCTCCCCCGCCCCGCGGAGCAGAAAGGCGCCGGGGGCTGGTCTCCGCGCGGGGGGCGCGCCGAGCTGTGCGGGGCCGGGGGCGCCGACCTTCCCCTGCACCTGCCAGCCGACCCCGAGTCCGGCCAAACAGCCGGCGCCACCGGCGCGAGGAGGCGGGTGCGGAGAGAGGACGGCCTGCGCCTTGGTTCCCGGGGAGCGGCTGGGATGTGCGGTTGGGAGCGGGGCGCGGAGAGCGGAGTAAGCCCGGGGCCCGAAGGGACAGAGGAGTGCGGGGCGGGCGCTGGAGGGGGCAGCAGGGAGTGAGGAGACGGGAGGGCGCGCTGGAGAAGGCCAGAGGACGGTGGCCAGGGGAGTGTGGAGAAAGTCCAAAGAGAGTGTCGCGGCGCAGGGGAGCGCAGGGTGGGGAGTCTCAGGGGAGAGGGGCGGGGGAGCCGGGGGCTGGCAGAAACGCGGAGGGGGAAGCTGGGCAACGAGGGGAGCGGGAACCCCAGCTGAGCCGGGAAGGAGCCGGCGTCGGGGCAGCTGCTCCCGGGAGGCTAATGCGCTCGGCGGCTCAGCGGTTGCAGTCGGAGTGCGATCCCGCATCCACTCAAGAGTACCAATTCCTGGCCCCTTTTCGACATCACCCCAGTCAGTCCCCAGACCTCCAAGTCACAGGTGAGGAAACTGAGGCCGGAAGCCGCTGAGCCGGAAGCCCAAAGCCAGGGCCAGCCTCCTTCAAGGTTGTTGAGTTGGAAGGATGAGCCTGGAGCCGGAAGCCTTCACCGCGGGACACCAGGCTCACACCAAAAAACGACGGCAGCAACTTGGAGTAGGCGCCCTAAATGCCCAGCACCCTGCGTTTTTTATCCTATCAGATTTTCAAGGAATCCCATGAAGTACTGTTAGTCTCCCCGTTTTACAGAGGGGGAAACTGAGGCTCCGCCTGGAGGACATCCCTCTCTCGTTCTTGGAGCAACTACATCTCCTCGGGGGCTTCTTGCAGAGCCCAGGTTTCTCCTGCTGTATCTCCCATCCCCCGCCTGAGTCGGGGCAAGGCACATGGGCTGAGTTCTGGTTGGGCAACTTCCGTGAAACAGTGAAACTGGCAGCCCTGGGTGCCCAAGTCTCAGGGCCAGCCCCACCTCCCTGGGGGACCTTGCTGTACCCCCGAGTTTCTGCACCTGAGGCCTCCCAGCCTTGCCCCTTGCGGTGCAGCCAGCCCTTCAAAGATGGGCTTCAGGGAGAGGAAACCATCTTCTCTGCTTATAAGAGCCATCTCCTGCTCCCCTTGCTGACAGACTTGACTACCAGTTTTTAAGCAACACCTGGGGGCTTCCCTGGTGGTGCAGTGGTTAAGAATCCCCCTGCCAATGCAGGCGACACAGGTTCAAGCCCTTGTCCGGGAAGATCCCGCATGCCGTGGAGCAACTAAGCCCATGCGCCACAACTACTGAGCCCCGTGCCACAACTACTGAGCTCCGTGCCACAACTACTGAGCCCCGTGCCACAAGTACTGAGCCCACGTGCCACAACTACTGAAGCCTGTGCACCTAGAGCCCGTGGTCTGCCACAAGAGAAGCCACCACAATGTGAAGCCTGCACACTGCAACGAAGAGCAGCCCCCGCTCACCGCAACTAGAGAAAGCCTGTGCGCAGCATTGAAGACCCAAGGCAGCCAAATAAATAAATAACGTTTAAACAACACCTGGATGCCAAATGAGCTGATGTGTGTCAATTAGTTCTTGGCCAAGTCAAAGCACCTTGGGAAGAACCCAACACAGGAAGGCCTCGAGTGGCTGACATCCGTATTATGCAGTTTAACAGGCCACAGAACCTGAATTCCCTGAATTCTCACTGGCCTGCCCGAGTGGGTGTGGCACGTTAGCTTCTGTGAGATTCCCAGGTGCCAGCATCAGGACCTTTCATCTCCAGAGTGACTGGGAATCTATCAGAAGGCTTTTTAGGACTTCCCTTCCCTTGGCCAGAATCGGGCTGAGGTCGGACCGGTCAGGAGCTGTCCCAGGTTGCCATGAATATTCAGCAGAAACAAATGCAGTCAAAGGCGTTTCCCTTGAAATGCAGAGGAAGCGCAGCAGAAGTGAGAATTCAGTGGCTCAGTTTTTCGTTAAGATGTGGTTAATTATCATCCGCCTGGGCTAATGGAATGTCCTCATGAGCGCAGTATCTTTTCATCAGGAACTTGCTGAGTGATGGGGGGCATTCCTTCTGCCCTGGTTATTCCTGCTGTGTAACAAATTACCCAAAACTCAGCGGCTAAAACAGCCATATTCTTTTGCTCACAGCCTCGTGGGTGAGGAATTCAGGAAGGGCCCAGCTGGGTGGGTCTCACTGGGGATCTGTCTTTTGACTGTGGTCAAATGTTGACTTGGACCTACAAGAGGACACACTTCGACACTTGCCGCCAGTCGGGAGCTCAGCTGGGCTGTGGATGGGCACCCCGGCGCATGGCTCCTCCAGCAGGGGGTCTCAGTGCTGTCGGATGTCTAACAGGCAAGAGCTGCCTAGTGTGTCATGCCCCTGAGTTTCTTTGCCTGGGGCCTCTCTGGATTTCGCTGTCTGTGTGGGCATCATGTGTGCGCGTGCGCGGGCGCACACACGGCACCAGCAGCCTTTGATCAATATCCCATTGTCTCTGCTAGGGTGATGGATAATTCACCTACACTGGCTCCTAGAGTTTTCCCGGCACAGCAGGGTTGAGCTCAGTGGCCCATTGGTGCTAAGTGACCCAGTGACCCACCCTTTACAGGCTGCCCTCTACCCCCCTTTTCCTACCCCGCTCATCCACTGATATTTCCTGGGACTGTCAACTAAACATACTTCTTCACTTGAATGCTGTCTCTGCATTGCTTGGGAAGGAACCCAAATGAAAACAGTCCCCAAGAAGTCTGGCTGCTTCTCTTAGGCACAGAGACCTCCCCAGACCAGCCTTCCATGTAAAATGCTCCCAAGAAGTAAACAAAAGTGAAGGACCTGCAGACTCATGGTGACTTTCGCAATCAGGGCCACCCCACACGAGGCCCAGGGAACATCGGAGAAGCAGCCTCCCTGGACGTTGCCCAACACCAGGTCCCTGGATTGGGAGGGTTTGGGTCTTAGCAAAGTGAGACCCCGCCCCTACTGTCACCCGGAGCTGAAAGCAGGGCTTCTGTGCGAAGGAACTTTGGCTGGTGGTTGGAGAGGGTCCCGATGGGGAAGACCCTGCGTGAGAGGTAGCAGTTTGTGTCACATCCTGGGGGGTGATGGTGTGCGTGCCCTGCCTGACGGGGTACCATGATGAACTGGTCTAAATCTTCTGCAGATTCCTGAGCCGGTCTCTGAGTCTGGGCACCGTCAGAGGACATGTGGACAGTGGGCGCTCCCATCCTGATGATGGCAGGTTCATCTTCTTGGTCTTGTCTTCCCTGACGTGTATGCAACTTGCTCAGTGGCATAGAGCGAGTTGTGGGGTGCGGGCTGTGCTGGGCAGGATCCTGTGCTCGTGGTCAACTTAGGGGAAGGGAATTTACTGTATTGCCAAGCTCTATAACCAGCCATAAAGATGTAAAACCAGGCTCAGGAAGAAAGAATAAAAAACCAAGAAAGTACTAGAGTCCTTTCGTGGAACAGGAACTATCTGATGGTCTCTGTAAGTCACCACTGCTGGGTGCTATTGTATTTTTTTTAAACATGCATGCATATAGCTCTTACTATTATAATATGTATATACGAGTGTGTTTAATCTTCATAACAGTGCTGTGAGGGCAATAATTTTATCATCCCTGCATTTTAGACAAGGAAACTGAGGCACAGGAGAGTTTGAAATGACTTGCCTGTGGCTAGTGGCAACCAAAGTAAGAGGCAGCCGAGTTAAGATTTAAGCTGAAGTAGTTAGTTTTGGGGATATTATTGCTTTTTCCATTGAAATAAAAGGCCCAAAGATGGGGTAGTCTGGCTATTAGCTCCCTGAAGGTCTTGAGAAGTCTTTCTTATCCACTTTGCAAGCTTCTTTTTCTGAGGTCTCATGGTCCAAAAAGGCTGCTGGAGCTCCATTCATTGCATCCACATTCCAGGAAGAAGAGTGGTGGTAATGGGAGGAGGAAGACAGAAAGCTGCCCTCTCAACTGAGTCAACACTTTAAGATATTTTCTTGGAAGTCCTACCCAATAGCTTTTGCTTACCTCTCAACAACAATAGTAAGTAGAATAAGAATAGAAATAATAATAAATAGAAATCCTTGTGCCAACTTTCCTCTTTCTGGGCTCAGGTAGTAGGAACCATGTGCAATTATCATAAAATCAGCCATATCCTGGTTAACGCTTGAATTCCTATATTTAAAAATGCCGTAGGTAACTCGTTATGAAAACAGCCCTCATTATGCAGGTACGGAGCACAATTACTGGGATGCTGGTGGGTTTAGTTAAATAATTAGAGCGAGCTGCTAAAGACCTTCTCGTTGTTTCTGTATTTAGATTAAATCGGCATTACTGATTCTCCGTGGCAAGGCTTGCTTTCAAGTTCTTATTGGTGTAATTAAGTGAGGTACTTTGCAAAGAAGACGCCCCCTGTTTACTTTTACACTCCAGGAGACCCAGCAATTACCTTCTCCAGCCCTGGGAGGGTGTGAGAAGACACAGCCGCTGCTCGCAGCTGGTCTGACAGGCATGCCGCTTTGTTTCATGAATGCAGAACCCAGCACACCATCAAACGCAGATTTAAGCGCCAGATCATTTCAAGTAGATGTCTGGGGTTTGTTTGTTTGTTTGTTTTTCCATTGGGACAACTTCACCAGTGTCCCTGAGATCTTCGGGACTTGGAGACGGGTGGGTGCTGGGACGAATTTGGCAGCAAATTCGTCATCCTGGGCAAGGTGGCTTGCCCTTTCTGGACCTCAGTTTCCTCCCGTGCAAAGTGGGGATAATCACAGTTCACGAGCAAGAGGTGTTTCCCCCACCATTGGATTTTGATTAACCGTGAAGCTGTGCAAAAAGCAAAGGGCAGAACAGAGAAGCCAGAATCACTGAGGAGCAAGCAGCTTTCCCTCCCCCGCAAATATCCCCCCCACCCGTGCATTTCTTCTTTCCCATTTTGACCCTCCTCCCCTCCCCCAGGCGGCTCCTTCCTGGCGGGCTTATCAAGAGACAATTGGTAGTGTTTGACACAAAGGTTTCGAATGGCAAAATATACCGCTGAAGATACTTACGTTCTTGAATGTGTATGACGGTGTTCTGTATCACTATATAGAATATAAAAAAAAAAAGGCTGTTGAGAGAGATACCCCCTCTCCTGGGCATTTCTGTGTGTTCCCAGCTGCGTCCGGTCAACAAAGGGTCAGGAGGACATCACCGCACACCCGCCTGCTGCGCGCAGAGGCTCAAATCCTGATGAAAAGCCTTTAAAGCTCCCGAGTCTGGGTGTCGTAGGAGTTTCAGAGAAGGTACTGGAGAGGCTTGTCAGTGCCTCTCCGTCAGCTTCCCCTGGGGTTTTTAAATTTGATTTCCTTGGCTGCAAATTCAGCTCTGGGCTTAACCGCAAGCTCATGAAATATTAACAATTTCCCCACTGGAAATTGCGTGTGTGTATGTGTGTGTGCATATGTGAAACCATAATTTTCTTCTAGAAAACGCTAAGAATGCTGGGGTGACACGGTCTGGGGATGCTGTTGCCATGTGCCAGGACCCTTATCTTGTGGAATCGTCATGATACCCTATCAGGTTGGGATTGTTTTCCTCCCATTACAGAGATTGAGGAAACCCAGGTCAGACAGGAGCCCTGAGGCTCACCGGGGTCTCACAGATGGTCAGGGTGGAGTCAGACCCAGCTGCAGGGCTCCTGCTGCCCCTTAGTCACACGGTGGGTGTTCCACCCAGAAGGATAGTGCCCGGCCCTGATTCTGGAACCTTCCCCAGTGGTTCTTCCCTGTCGGGGAGAGTCTGCACCTTTCTCAGTATCGAGAGGATGGGCCCAGGCTCTGCACGGTCCCCTGGCCGCCCCCAGAGCCCATGGCCACCCATCTGTCAGCACCAGTCAGCTCAGGCCTCTTGCGCTCCTTGGCAACGTGCCAGCCTGCTCCCACCCTGTTCCTTTCTGGCACCAGAAGACTCAGGGCCGTCCCTGGCTCTTTGCTTCTGTCAGCAGCCATGGGGGCCAGGCCGGCTCTGGGGGCCCAGCATCGCCGCTCTCCCCGGCACGGGGCAGCATCTTCTCCCGGCACCTCTGGGCCTGGGTGTGCCGTGCTCCTGTTCTCCATCAGATCCGCGGGCTGGAAGGAACATCGTCGCTAGCGTAGGAAGGGTCACTCGTGATGTTTCTAAGAGGAGTTCGGGGTTGTTTCTGTGGGTGACCCCCTTGATAGCCTCTGCTGGGTTCCATCGTTTTTGATGTCTGGTTAGACTTCCTTTCCTTCTGAGATCGGTCCCAGCCAGGGTGTGAATCCCAGTTCTGCCACTTCATACTGTGTGACCTTGGGCAAGTGACTCAGCCTCTCTGGGCTTCATTTCCCTCATCTGTAAAATGAGACCAATCATCACACCTGCCTCACGGGATTGTTGTGGGGACTGTGTTGGTTAGTGCACACAGGCCTAGAGCTGTCCCCGGAACACAGCCCCGAATGTTTGCCGCTGCTTCTTTCTTTGTCCTCAGTACCTATTCAGCATTCAAGGACCCCAGTGTCTCTTTGCAAATAAATGATGCAGTAGCTTCACAACTCTTGTGGTTCCTAGGGTTCAAGTTGAGGGGACCCTAGCTAGAGTCCCCTTTAAAAAAGTATGTTCTATGGAAACCTGGCCTCTGCTGCTTCATTATGCAGTGCTCTACTCTAGGGAAATGGCACCAAAGAAAATCAAATCGTATTTTTCATCCAGTGAACTTAAATACCAGCCATTAATGGAAACATGGGAGTTTTCTGGCATTAAAATACTAGTGCTCAAAATAAACCAGAGAATATGAATTCCAAGGAGTTCTGTTGAGTCGGGGTTCCAGGAGAGTCTTTGGAAGCCTGGTTGCCGGGGTGACCAGACTCAGCTGAGCCCTTGGGACTCAAATGGCTCCCCGGTTTTGACCAAGATGCTTTCCCATGATCCCCCCGCAGGAGAATAATCCCGCTGGCTTTGGTCCTCCAGTCACCTCCCTGAGGAATGAATACTTAAGCAAAGTTGAGGTTCTCCTAGCAAGACAGAATACGGGGGAATCACATCTGGTGTGTATACATAGATAGATAGATAGATAGATAGATAGATGGATAGATGGATAGATGGATAGATGCATAGATAGATAGATACATGGATAGATACATGGGTGGGTGGATGGATGGATGGATAGATGGGTGATGGATGGATACACACGTACGTAGACACATGCAAACATCTGGGTAATTTGAACCTGAATTTACTGGTATCCAGGAAAAGGTGGTTGTTGGGCTTCCTTCTCCCTTCCCATGTCCAAAGAAATTCCTTATCCTGATATTCCTTACATAGTTGTTGAACCTCGTTCTTATTTTGTCTACACAGAAATAACTTTTAAATACAACACATCGCCCCTCAGCAAAGTAACTTGAGTGTTGGTGCATTGCCTGCCCCAGCCCCGTAATCTCTAGCCATCTAAGGCAATAATGTCTTTGAGTGAATGAAGCCGTCTTCCCGGCACCCTAACTCAGCAATTATCTGAAAGTGGTTCACCTACACTACGGAGGAAGCCCTGCACCCCACCAGATTCAGCTGGTGGCGTTTGATCAGGTTCACCCCGTGTGTAAACACCCCTCGGTCCCCGTGGAGCTGTCGAGGTGTGTGACGGAGCAGTGACAGCTCTGGGTGGGAGCCTAGGGGCTCCATCCAGTTTTTGAGTTCCAGACAGCCCCTGTCCTCGGGTTCTTCATTTGTAACATAAAGCTGTGGAAGAGGAGGCTGGAGGGGGCAACGTGGGACCCCCCTGAAGTGAGGAGCAGTGGTGGGTGCAGAGGAAGGGCAGAGAGGGAGAGGAAGAGGGCGTCGTCGCCAAGCCCTGCCTTTTTAGTCCAAACTAAATAGGCCTTTAATTCTTCCTAACCCAACCTAACCCAAGTCTGAGCTTCTGTTCCGGGAATCTGTCAGTGCCAGGGTCTCCCGGTCGCTTTGCCAGGGCAGTATCTACGAGCCCCGGGGCTCGCCTCGTGGCAATGTCAGAGGGAGACACGCCTGCCCTTGACGTTGATGTCCGTGTAGGTCTCCCCTGAGATGGCCCCCCTCCCTGTCCCTTTGACCCTGCAGGCACGGTGGCTGTTTCCATGCCCAGCTTGGGACCCCCTGGAATTCTGTGGAGGTGTCGGTCACCCTGCCTGCCTGGGTCAACTACCGTGTTTCCTCTCTGGGTCTTACTGCTTCAGAGCAAGGGACAGACTCTCATTTGCATAATTTAGGAGGGAGGTTCAACTTATGTGACAGACACCCAAAGGTCAAAGGTTTCTTTTTCTCTCATGTTAGGTACTGGCAACCCAACTTGAACTTAACCACTAGGTGAAAGGTGTCAGCATTGGGGAGGTCAGGTCGCTGGGAGGCCAGGAAGTTGGAAGGTTCATCCGTGGCTGCTGGAGATGGGAGGAAGGGAACAGTGGGACCTGGATTAAAAACCACTCCGGTCGATTGAGGAAAGCCAATGGGACCCATCCATGATGGTGACCTCCAGTAGCGCGAGATTTCCAGGAGATGGTCCAGAGGGAGCGTGGTGATTTGGAAATGGCAACAGTGGATGAGAAGCGAGAACAGGCAAACGCTTCTCTTTGTGTGCAGTTACTGAAGGGGGTGAGCCGGCCTTCCCCACGCAGAGTTTCATCCTTAGAAATCCCCCAAGACCAACTGCAGATACTAACTAGCAGAAAAATAAGTGTTGGTTTCCAGCTCTCTACAACTTTACCTCTATTGTTGATGGCTGGGGGCCGCGGTTACTGGAGGAGACGGCCTCTGTGTAAACAGCGCCTCCGTCTCCTCGTGTCGTGGCTTGGGATTTTATAACTTCCAGTTTCTGGGCTCTTCTGTGGGACTTTCCAAATTCCGCCCCTTTTCCCAGATGTAGTGCGGAAAACTGAATTTGAGGTAATATGGATTTAGAACGGAAAGAATGTGCAGAAGGATTCTCAGTTATTTGAAAAATTCTGTTCCGTAATAACGTTGATGAAAGACCAAGAGGAAAACGGGTGCAACAAAAGGCTGATTAATAACTTATAAAGCAATTAATACTTATAAAAATAATGGTTATTGTTGTGCGGGCCTTACCAACGGGCCAGGCACTGTACTTATTAATTCATACCCATGGCCGCATCCGCCCACAGCAGCGCTGTGACCTAGATGCTGGTATTGTGTCCACATTACAGGTGGGCACATGGAAGGTCTTCTTTGTTTCTGGTTGTCCTCATTGATTGAGTGATTGAGGTAATACTCAACTTCTATGGAGAACTCATAGCTTTTGCATAAAAGGTTGGACAGAAAGAGATGCGTTGTCCCTGTGAGGGTCTGTTTCTGTAATTTACCACCAAATACCAGGTCACCCTGGCAGTGGCCTTGATGTCTGTCTCTTTGCATCTCTCCTGTTTCCTCCTGGCCTCCAGGGACTGGAGATCAGATGAGACTGAGGTTTTAGCAGGAGCTGATGGATTTTTCCTTGGGCTACCCATAGACCAACATGGGATTAAAATGCCTCTCTCCGGATCATCTTTTCTGGAGGGGGCTGAATGATGAAAGAGGAACGCGGAGGGCCGGGTGAGGAAAACTTGGGTCAGATGACTGCCAAGGTCTCCAAAGGAAGTGGTCAGAGCCCAAGGCTTGAGTCAACCTCCAGCTGAGAACAGGTGCGGAGGGTGTGCCCCAGAAGAACAGCATGAAACCACGCCCGGTGACCCAGGGAGGCTGAGGGTGCGGGGGAGGTGAGCGTGCGTTCAGTTGCAAGCCCCACCTGGGGACTTGGGTTCACATTTCCCCTCCGGGAGCCTCTGATCCCTGCCAAGATGGACAGTACCACCCTCCAGGTCCTCCATCCTATAACTAAAAGCCCTGAATGTGACACCAAACAAACACACGAAGACCGGGAAAGCGGGATATTTGAAGCCAAAATCATAGCACCACTTGAGGTGGTGCCCACGTACACAGAGGAAATAACTAAGACGATTATGTTTTAAAAGTAGGGAGGAGGCAAGGACCTGAATGGAAGTAAGTTTTCTAAACTCCATGCAAAGTGATAAAACCTTGATATCGGTAGACCGTGATCAGTTACGTCAATAGGTTGTGGTTTTTA